CTCCCCTGCCCCGCCCCGCCGTGGCAGGGGCGGGAGTGACACGCGACAGGAAGGAGCTAATAAGAGGACGCTTCTCGACCCACGTGCTGTGGCCTGAGTGCAGGATTGGCCGCTCGGGTGCGCTGCGTTCCGGGGTGGTGGAAAGGGCGCGAAATGCGATGCTGTAGGGCGGCTCCTGAGGGTGGGTGAGCGAGCGGCTCTGGGCCGGGCGGCCGCGACTCGGTTTTGCTTCTGTCTCCGTTTTTTTTCCCAGCAGCGCCGGGCTGTCCCTGCAGCGGCGGGACGGCCGGGGCCCGGCGGCCGGAGCGCGGCGAGCTGGGTGCTGGACGGCTCCGCTTCGGCCTGCTGCAGGGCCCGTCCCTGCTCCCGAGCTGCAGCCGCGTAAAGGTCTAAGTGGTTTCTCTTTGTTTTCAGGATTTGTGATACTTGCTGTAGGGTCTTACCTGTGCCGGTTGGTGTAGGCAGTTCCCAGGGTCCTTTGTGTAAGCGTGTCTGCTGTCTCCTTTACATGCTTTTCCACCTAGAAAGCTCCTTTTTTTTGCTGTGTTATGCTTGTGTGTGCCTTTGCCGAGTTTCTGCTGAATGCTACTTCTGTAAACCCTTTCAGTTTGCCCCTTTGACTACAAGAGACTTGACAGGTTTTAACTGTAAACATTCAGAGTAAGAACTCCACCAGCGCTGTAAAGCCTCTTCTCAAGAAATAGCAGGTAAGTATTCGATACTGTTCAGCATGTTACAGAAAAGCCATATAGGAAAAAACATGGTCACGGGATGCAACAGATCAGAAACAAAGCTGATTACTTTTTTTTTTTTCTGTAGAGTATTTTTGGATGTGAAGGATGGACTTCTCAGTGATTGCTATCAGAGATGTACAAAATGTGCTTTCAGCTATGCAGAAGAACTTGGAGTGCCCAATATGGTATGCCAGAATAATGTGAACTCTATATTAGTATAGTAAATGAGCCTTTTGTTTTTCTCTCTCTTTTTTTTCCTTTCTTTTCAAATGCTTTGTCGGTTCTATGGGTTATCAGAAAGCAAGAAGAATTGTATTTCAAGGCTAAGTATATTGATGTTTTGTAAGGCTCAAGTGAGAAAGTGTAAGGCAGAACCTGTATTTTGCTCTTATGTTCTAGTAAATTTTGCTTTTCTATTACAACCTAAATGTGTCAGTAGTCCTCTATCCAGTGAGGAAAAAAATGTAACTGATTGGATTAGAGTATTGTTTGTATGGATCTTTGTCCTTTGTCTCTAAAAGGTAAGAGAGGTCTGTAGTTCTTTAATGCAAACAAATGCTGAAATAGCATAGATTCTAATTAAAGCCTAGATACCTGGAATGTCTGGTAAGCTTTTGAAAGACTCTTGCTTCCATTGAACCAAACTGCTGAAATATTTTTTGTCTATGGTGGCAAATGTTTTTAAATCCTTACATTTTAAATCCATTTGGAAAGATTTTACTTTACTGCCATTGGAAAACCAAAATAAATTCTGTGTTGGTAATAACATCTATTACAAAGGCACAGAGCAGAAAGCATAGAAAGTCTGCAGCACTATGCAGAAAAAAAAACTTGCATCCAAACTTTTCTGAAGAGGCAACATGCTTTTTGCTGAGGTATAGCCATTGGATGGTTGGCTTGGTTATTCGTTGACTTAACAAACAATGTTACAAGAGCTAGACTAGAAACTGTTTCCTACATCTGCTGTTCTTTATTGCATGTGGAATTTGATGGAATAACGAAGTATCTCAGAAAGTGACTTTACACAGTCTGGTACTGCTGATTGATGGGAGGAAGCCGACTTCAACATGGAATGGAGATTTTCAATGTCCACTTTTTTTGCATTTGTGCAATAAAGATCACGGAAGTGTGTACTGTTTAGCTTAAATAGCAAGACAAGTTGTGAATGGCAGTTCAAAACCAGGGTTTTAATGCACCTCGCAGTTTTGTTGGTAATTATTAACTGGGCAGAAGGCTGTGAATATGGTGAGGTTGGGCCTGTCTCGCTTTATTTCCATATGTGACATCAAGGCATAAAGGTATAATCTTTCTTTTCTATTATGGCAAATTAAAATATTAAAACATCCAAAAATATGAATGAATGAGATTGGGGAATGAATAATGCATGTAAAAGTAATGCTGAGGCTGCTTTTGGCTCTTGGTGTATATTTTACTATAGGCACAAGTTAGACTGTTCTGCAATAATAGCGTTATATTTGTTTTATACTATACTATAGGCACAAGTTAGACTGTTCTGCAATAATAGCGTTTGTTTTGGCCGGTTTCGGCCAAGTTATGTTGTTGTGGCAGGGGTTGGGGGTACTCTATATAATCTATTTTACATACTGCTAGGTTGTAGACAGAACACAATCACAGAGAGGCTTCCTTATGTTGATACACAGTCTATGAAACTCATGAAACCTTTCTTATGTAACTGGTATATGCCTAAATTAGAGCAGTATTTTTTAAAATTATTGTTTGTTTATTTGTTTTTAGTATGTGTTCAAGGTAGATTATATTTTAAGGTGAGTTGAACAAATTAATTGGTTAGAGCTTTTCTGAAAGCCCTAATATCAAGTTAAATGTTAATTTTCACACTGTGCTAGACGGAATGGGTTTAGAATAGAAAACCAGGGGGGAAAAGGAATAACTTAAATATTTATTTGTGTTGACGCATTTGTGCATTTGGTTTATACAAACATAGTAAGAGTCCAGTGGGCTTCTGAACCCAACAGAACTACACTGTCCTTTACTCTTGTCACAGGAGGTCAGCATTGAAAAAGAAGACATTGGTGTTCTAACACCAAGTTTCCTGCCCTGCTGAACTGGCATTTCCAGAAAATGCTCTCTTCTTGCCAGAGGCAGACAAAGATTGTGAAGAGCTAGTAGATATGTATATTTCACATAATGACAGTATTTGTTACTGTACCTGGTTCTCAAATGAAAAATTGTCAAATGTGTCCTATTTTTCTTCTGGAAAAAGAAGACATTGGTGTTCTAACACCAAGTTTCCTGCCCTGCTGAACTGGCATTTCCAGAAAATGCTCTCTTCTTGCCAGAGGCAGACAAAGATTGTGAAGAGCTAGTAGATATGTATATTTCACATAATGACAGTATTTGTTACTGTACCTGGTTCTCAAATGAAAAATTGTCAAATGTGTCCTATTTTTCTTCTGGACCAAGATTTTTTTTTTTTTTTTTTTTTTTTTAAAGTTCAGAAAAGCCACTGTATTTCTGAATCTTATTTTGTTGCTTCTATTTTATATATAACTTCTGTGTTGTTGTTTTCCTTCATTTTTCTTTTTGTAGCTTGGATGTGGTAGAAGAGCCAGTTTCAACAAAATGTGATCACATATTCTGCAGGTAAGTTTGAAAACTTGCAATTGTGATGCTTAGTCAATCTGTTCTTATTCTGCATGTATACTTCTTTAGTGCTGATGGTGTATACTGTGTTTTGATAATTTAATGTGTAGCTATTTTAGGGGAAAAATCAATTCTGAATAAGAAATAACTGCAGTTTCACAGACGTGTCAAAGGGGATTGATTAATTCATCATGACACCAAAACAAGAATACAGGCATTCAACTTGATAATGAAGGATTTCTACTAAGTGATGCACGCCTAGGCTCAGTTTTAAAGAAAATAAAATTCTCCCTTTTGTTACCCTTGTGATTATTCTTTTTTTCTAGGTTCTGCATGTTCAAACTCCTCAGCAAAAAGAAAAAAGGTGTGATACAGTGTCCTCTCTGCAAGACTGAAGTTACCAAGAGGTAATGCATCTTTGCAAGTGGGCTTGAGGATGAGAAGTTTGAACTCTGAAGAAAAGTTAATCATTGTCTTAAAAATGTCTTAGCAGAAGACAAGGAAAAAAGGAAAGGTGGTTATTAAGTAAACTGTCAGTTTCTAAAGGAGTAATTCTTTAGTGCCTTACCTCAATATAAACTTTTTTCAAGTGATTGCAGGTGAAGACACCATTCTTAGCAAATGTTTGTGCTATCAAGTATAGACTGTATTATTGTTCAATCATTACAACTAGTTTCTCTGTCCTAAACCTACATGAGGAAAAATAGAAATTTTCACTTTGTGATAGTTTTAATTCCCGTAGTAATGGTTGTTTTGGGGAATTGTGATGTTCTTCCTTGGCAACAATTTCTCATTATCTCATCCTCCACTATGCAGAGTTACTCCTTTTTTTGTTCAGCCTAAATTCTAGGAGAACTATTAATAGTTTACCCACACATTTGTCTTAAAACAACTCATGTGGTGATGTTATTTCAGAAGTCTGAAAGAAAATTCCAGATTTAAGCAACTAATTGAAGGATTGTTGGAAACTATCCATGCATTTGAGCTTGACACTGGGGTAAAGTGTAAGTGTTGTGAATATATACCACCCCTTTTTTTAATTAGATTTTGACATTTGTATCATAATTATTTGCAGGGTATCTCATTTACTGTGCAGTACTCAATATGGAAAGAATTATCAAAAGTTTTTTCTTGGATGTGGAAGCATAAGTTCCATTAAGTTCCCAAGGTTTTCCTACAATAACCTCTTGAATAGTCTTAAGGGTTTTTACTGTGCGTTTGATGACTCCAACCAATCTTATTTTCAATTCCTGAAATATGGCTGAATGTGTATCAAATAATCTTTAATCTATAACTGTGTGGCACAGTCCTGCTCTTGATTATGCCCAACCTTGCAGATTTAATTTCTTAGACAGTCTTAGAGCCTGAATTAGCAAGAGCTGTAAAAGTGTATGTTAACTTGTCCCATTCAGATATATCCTTTTGGAATCCAAATTTATCCTTTCTAGTATTCAGTGCCTTGTAAAGAGTATTGGCAAGTCAGACGCATGCTGTTTTATATTTTGGGAAACAAGATGATGTTGGTGGTGGTGGTTTGTGGGTTTTGGTTTGGTTTTTTTTTTTCTTAGTATATTGTGCTATAAAAACTAGACTTTCTTTTCAAATTCTTTTCAACTTGTTCAGTAATTCTAAAATCACTAATAGATCCTGTTCTTGCTAGATTATCCATATAAGCAAAATTGGTTGGGAAAATTAGTTGGCAAGATCAAGATTTTACTTAATACTTGAAGAGTACTCATAAAGAACAATCAGACTAATAATTCAATCAGATTTCTCTCTGATAATTGTATTTTAGCTGTATATGTGCTAGTTGCATAGGGTCTATGCAAGGCTATTTTATTAATATATAATACCTGTTGTCATGCTCAGTGTAAGAAAATATTTTTGCTTTTTTTCCTATTGACATTTTTCAGTTTTAAACAGTCATCACTTTCCTAAAACATCCACAGAAGCCACTGCTGCTGAGTTCCTGTGTAAAGAAAGTTCTGTCATCCAAAGTAAGGGCTTCAGAAACAGGAAAAAAAGTGCTAAAGAAAATGGACAAGAAAACTGCAACTTGGTATTATTTTTTTCCCCCAATTTATTTTTGTGGATTATTTAGTGTTTTATTTGGAGTGTGTATACATGCATATACATAAATGAATGGAATAGGAGTTTTTGGTTTGCTTTCAGATTGCTGTTTGACTTGAATATTATTCCAAACAAGGACATCTAAATATTGTCTTCCTAACCTACTTTAAAAAGTTTGCATAAATGACCTGAACTTAAAGATAATATTGCCATAATATATTCTGTTACTGAAACTAGGGTTGAAAGCTTTTTTTGTACTGCTTGTTTAATGAGGCTGTCTAACTCTTGGTAGGCTTTTTACTTTTTTAGAGGCAAGACCATGAATATGTCTTAAGAATTCTTAAGACATTACCCAACTTAGGGTGATTGCTGTGTGTATGAGTTTGTTCATGGTACATTGTTTCTTGTCTCATCTGCTCGATGCTGAATAGAATGTTAAGTAAGATAAAATTGTTAATGATTTGAGCTGTTAAATGCATGATAATTGTTTCTATTAACACATTCAATTACTGATATCAGTATGATAAATTACATGTATTGGATTTTTGCATAGAGGCTGCCAATTTAAATACTTAGTTCATATGTATCAGCCCCCCCTGCTGTAGTTTAAATAATTACTACTAATTTTTTGAAAATAGCCTACTGTTATAAATAACTATCCCTTTCTATTCTTCTGTCAGCAGGAAGCTAATGTGGATACACAGCTTACAGATACCAGGGTCAAAAGGTGTCCTCTAAGAAACAAAACCCAGAAATGTGACTCTGAAAAAGGGATTTATATAGAGTTCGGTAAGATCTGTTGTAGATCCACACTGGTTGAGCTTATATATAATGCTTGGAAAGTAATAAAAGGTGATGAAGTTTAAAGTCTTATAAACACTAATTTCTCCTTAACACCCAAAATGAGAACAAAGGGACAAATCAAAGTTGGTAAATCAAAAGGGTTTTTACATAATTTATTATATTGCAGGAAATAATGCTGCTGTAGTAAACCTTTAAGGCTCAGTGTACAAGATCCAAAGAAGAGAAGATGCTTACAGATGTGAAAAAAGTTGCAGTTGTTATAACTAATGATAACTACTGTTTTCTAAAGAATATTAAGCCTTGTCACCAGTGCTTGAGGCTCTAGTTAATAACCGGAGATAACAATGAAATCTAGCTGAGAAAAGAATATTTCATTTCTTTCTATCCTAGCTTTTCAAAACTTCCTTTTTATCTGGTGCTGACTGCTGTGAGAAACAAGATAGATGCTGTGCATAGTTTATTTTCTCCCTGTTCCTTCAAGGAAAGAATTGCTCCTTTTAATAGAGAGCGTTCATTGCCTCTCTCTTATCCTTACTGCTTCTGCCAAGATCAATCAAGGGATCTGAGACGGAATTCAAATATATTGCTCTGACTTCCAGTTCAAAATTCTAAATACTAGCAGCTGTTTCATGTATAAATTTAGAAATTAGAAACTAACTCTTAGCTAATTAACTTTTAGTAGATCTCTGTTACCAGTCACTGTATTTAAACATAAGTTTATGCAGGAGCCGTGTAGATATTAATACATAGAAATAATTACAATTAGGCAAAATCCTGTACAATTGAACTTGATTTCATCTGATAAAAGTTGAAAGCATCTACCTCTAGAAAGAACTAAGCATGCATGCTTCTGTGATAATAAACACTGAGTCTGGCAAGTCATCTTTCTCTGAATCATTTCAACCAGAGTAACAGCCGATTTGTTTTTAGGCTCTGATTCATCTGAAGAGCTTTTTAAACAGGCAAGCAATGCTGGGTAAGTAAAGGTGATTAAGGAATTCATATTTTCTAAAGACAATAGTTCAGTATTCTCATTCCTATGTTTTAGTTCTTAGCATAGGACTGATAGAATTCTTCAAGCTGACAAGTGATTTTCAACTTCGAGGGCATCAGGGTAGAATGGGTAGCTGACTCCCATCAGTTTCTCATGTAATATGCTTTAAAGCTCTTTTCTGGGTAAGTAAAGGTGATTAAGGAATTCATATTTTCTAAAGACAATAGTTCAGTATTCTCATTCCTATGTTTTAGTTCTTAGCATAGGACTGATAGAATTCTTCAAGCTGACAAGTGATTTTCAACTTCGAGGGCATCAGGGTAGAATGGGTAGCTGACTCCCATCAGTTTCTCATGTAATATGCTTTAAAGCTCTTTTCTAAATGTTTTGTCTTACACAGACATTAGATCTTCAAGAGAAAAGCATATACTATGCTAGAAAGTAAAATGGGTAGCTGACTCCCATCAGTTTCTCATGTAATATGCTTTAAAGCTCTTTTCTAAATGTTTTGTTGCTTACACAGACATTAGATCTTCAAGAGAGAAGCATATACTATGCTTTAGAAAGTAAATGTAAAAGATCCCCTCCCACATTCCTGAATTTAAAAGACATAGTCTGAAACTCTGAAGGGATCTAGTTGTGGCAAGTGTCAATCATGAAGCCTGGCTTCTCCAAAAACTATTTCAGAGAGCAAAAAGGGAAAATTAAGTATCATCTTCTATTAAGTCTATTGTAGTTTTCTCAGTACTGAAAGTAGATTTTCTTTCCCAACAGGTTAGAAGACAAAGAAGCGCTTCAGGTTTCATCTCAAGAAAAGCTAGAAGAACTTAAGAGTGCTGAGAAGGGGAATGAATATTCTTGCAATACACAGCCTGACGAGCTGGGTGCTAAAGAAATAATTCTACCAAATGTCATAGGTGTGTTTGTTATTTTGGTGACAAAAATGATTAAGCTTGAAAGAAAGACCACAAGTTAACATTTTGATTTCGCATGATTAAATAGATATACTTGCAGTCTTGTATGTTGTAGTTTTGTTGATGCCTACAGCTAGTGACAGTATAATACGAGACTGTACCTGTAGACTAGATACTTAAAATGTGGATATTCTGTGCACAGGAACAGAAGGGAAAAAAGTAACTTGATCAAAGTGCAAAACTTACTCTATTCTACATAAGCCATATTATCCCTTATAATACAAGTTGAGAGCACTGTCTGGTAATTCATGTAAGAAGTTGGATGAACATACGTCATGTAATTTGATCTTTCTCTAGAGGGAGATTTATGCAGTGTAATATTCTGTTTTGGGGGGGAAATAAGAACAGTTCTTTTAAAACAAAGTAGCCATTAAGCTTGTCATTGTTCTTGTGTGTGTAAAATAGGGCTTAATAATTTATAATACCTATAAATCTTCAGGTGAAAGTGATTTCTCGAAGGAAGGCTCGAGCAAGAAAAGCATTCGGAGCATCACTGAATGTACCAAACCTGGCCAAGTGAATATGACTGAATACCAGAGTTCTCCTTTAAATGTTCTTGCTGTAGACGTACTCACAGAGCAGTGTGACAGAATAGGTAATGCCAGTGCCTTAAGGAATGGGGACACATCTATCTTTAAGAACACAGAAGAAATGGATGCGGAGCAAACTCGGTGCAATAGTAAAAGCAAAGAGTTTGACTTAAAAGATAGCTCAGAGAGCAGGCTGGATAAAAGCAAGGAAATAGATGATGTTGTACAAAGTGTGGAAACTGTGGAAATGTATGAACCTGAGAATGATTCTTTCCATGAAAAAGAACTTCCTCTAGAGAAGCTACTTCAGCCAGAGACACTTCACTGTGCTACCCTGAATCAAGTCTCGAGGAAGAGACTGAAGCGAAGCATTCAGAAAGTCAATGAATGGTTTTCAAAAAGCAACGAGATTCTGTCTTCCAGTTCTTCCCAGGATGATTCTGCTGGACCAGCTGATGATTCAGGTGAAGGAGATACATGTTTATCAGATAAAGATTCCTGTATTTCAGAAAAGACTGACCCTATGGTAGATTCCATGGAAATTGCAGTGGTTGAAGGAAACAAGAGATGGTCAAAACAAACAGCAGATAGCATCAAAGACAAAATATTTGGGAAAACATACAAGAGAGAGAGGAAGTCAAATCCCCCTACTATCTTGAAAGAGATTTTACCTACTACAAAAGAGGAAGATGTGGCTGCTGATAAGTGCTTGAATAATTCCAGCAAAGACAGACTAAAGCGAAAAAGGAAGACTGCCCGTGTCCTGCAACCTGAGGATTTCATCAAGAAAAAAGATACAGAAGAGGTGGATGGGTGCCCTCAAAGTGCTAACTGGTGCCTTGGAGATGCTGAAAAGAAAAGACGTGATGAAAGTTCTGCTGTTACTGAGAGTCACCTCTCTGAGAATAGAGAGGATAATACACTAGCAGAACTTGAGGAAGGAGGAGGATCCATATGGAAAAAAGCTACTGAAAAGGTGACTGGCAAGTACTGCGATGGGGAGCTAGAACTGAATAACTGTGATCAGAAAAGCACTAAAAAAAGAAGTTCTGCAGCAAAAAGATGCAGGCATTCTACTAGAACCATGTGTGCCCAACAGTTAGTAGTGGATAGAAACTCTGTTTCCCCTGATCCAGCTGAGCCACAGATTGATAGCTGTCCAAGCAGTGAAGAACCAAGGAAAGTTGATTCTGAGCAAAGACAAGTCAGGCGCAGCAGGAGGCTTCAGTTACTTTCTGAAGAAATGACAAAAGAAACAGGAAAAGGAGTAGTAATTAAGGGAGCAAGAAAGTATGACAGTGATCATGAAGGGTCTTTCTCTGGAGACCAAAGGAATGTGTTAGTTCACGCTTCTGAATGCAAAGACCTGTGTGAGCCCCAGGGTATGTTGAGTTACAAGCCACTCACTAATCTGAAGAGTGGTGATTTGAAAACAAATGAAACACAGATTAGTCTAAAGAATTTATCTGACACTGCAGAAAGTGGAAAAAGTCTCTTCGATCCTACATCTTCATGTCAGCGTTCAAATTGTAGTTCCATTGCACCTGATGTAGGTTCTCAAGAAGGTGAAATACTAGGTAGCCCTTTCCTCCTACAGTCTCCTTCAATGACTGTTGTGCAAACGGCTTCCCACCCCACTGGAGAGATGACTGAATCATGTACTACTTTTCCCCGGGACAGTGGACATGATACACAAAATGTTCCAGGGGACTTCAGAAGCGAAAAGTTGCCAATGGCTAAAAATGTTTTGGAATTGACCAAGGAAGCTGAAGATAGTGACTTGGACACACAGTATCTGCGAAATATATTTAGGCATTCAAAACGCCTATCATTTAGCCTTTATCCTACTCCCATGAAGGCGTGTGCAGTAGAAGATGCTGCTTCTGAAACTTTAAAGATATCATGTGCTGATCAGTTAGAAAATAAGCATAGCAAATATTTTAAAACAGAAAACTCACAAGAAGAGAAAACAACTGCTGAAAGCTTGAGTAGGGGTTGTGAGAAAGAGAAGCTTAAGGCCTATATATCTGCTTGTGTTAGTCCTGTGACTTGCTTTGTTGGCAACACTGAATGTATGCACACAGGGGAACATCAAGAAGATGTTTCACAGGTTGCAAATCAAGAGAATGTGACACCAATAGGAATGGGTACTGCTAGGACTGAAGACAAAAACAGATCACAAAAAGGAGAGCAGGGAAATGAAAAGACAGTGTCAACTGACATAGGGATAGAAAGCAAGTTGAGACAGAATCCAATAGAAAGTAATGGAAGCCAAAGTGATCAGAGTAATATAGAAGAGCACGTTTTCAAAAGAACTGATTTAAACACAGTTGATGAAATACGCTTCAGTTCAGAAAGGAATCAAGCAGGAAAGGCCAAAGTTGTTGATGGCAAAGGACTAATACTACATTTTCAGTCCAGATCAATGATTTGTTCTGCAACTTGTCAGCAAAGGCCTGCTGAATTCAGCTATGAAGTCACTGGAAAAAAAAGTGGCAAAAGAGAAAGAAAACACATAAAGGGGAATGAAGAACAAGCAACCCGAACTGCTAGCACAGGGATGCCTGAGTATTTAGTTACAGAGGCTCTAGAAGAACCTCTTAAAGGGAGTAGTGATTTTACAGGTTTGTCTGAAACCCCTGATGGCTTACTGTGCTCTGATGACGATATTGAAGAGAGCACCAGCTTTTCTGAAACTGATAGGAAAGAGAGATCTGCGGTGTTTGTAAAAAGAAGTGACAATGCCCTGGTAAAAGAACTACACAATAGAAATGTTGGTTCTAAGCCAAGATCTCGAGGTAATCAGAGAACTCGAAGAAGAGCACAGAAACTGCAATCTTCAGATGAAGAATCTAGCGAGGATGAAGATTTACCATGTTTTCAGACATTAATATTTGGCAAATCAGTAAGCACACCTTTGCAGATCAATAAACAAGTGACATCTTTGGTAGATTCTTCAGTAAGTCCCATCACATTGCCTCACAATGGAAGTCATGATGACAATAATATGCAGAAAATGCCTGAAGCTGCCCTAAGTAATGGGTGTGTTTCACCAAGCCAGGAGTCAGAATGCTCCGTCAACTTATTTTCTTCCCAGTCCAATGTGTCTGAAGCATCAGTTGATGGAGCACAAGAGCTGAAGAAAGCTTTAATACAAGTTTGTACATCCAAACAAGTGAGCAATGTGAATGAGAGTAAAGAAACTTTTCAAAGTTGTAACGGAGGGCTGAAGATAAGCAAAACTAACTTCAAAGATCAGTACCAGGAAGACCCAAACATGAGAGCAAACCTAGGTACAAACCAAGATTTTTATTTCTGCAGCTGTGTTTGTAATGTCATTGCACCTAGGTTTTTGGTGTTTGCATGGGAACTTTGTTCTGTATTTATGTGGTGCTTGCTCTTTTAAAGGAATGTATCAGCCCTAAACAATCAAACAAAAAACCCTCAGTGGTTTATTTCCTGAAAATTAAGTTCTCCTAGTATTATTTGTTCAGAGCAAAAATGAATAGATTGGGCACTAGAGGCTGGATTGAGTCTGTCTGATGTGAATTAATTTTTGAGTGAAATGTGAGCTCTCTTACTGCAATGTGATACTTGCATCTATCAGCAAAATTTCATAAAGCCTACCTAAGCTGTTTCACCAGATGAAATGTTTGTTGAAATTGGCTGTAGAATTCTGTAGTGCTTATTTTGACCTTTTTATGGCTTTCATAAATATTTAGGACTCTTTCATCACTATTGAAACGCTTTGAGTTCTATTTACTTTGCCACATGTGTGACATGGTATTCTTTGAAATGTTCACTTAAAGTAGATCTGTGCTTCTAACTTAAGTGTTTTCAAAATTTGTCTGAACTTTGGCTAAAAGGTCTGTGTGGTAAGAGATTATGGATAACGTTTGTTTGGGTGTTTTGTGGTTTTTTGGTGGTTTGTTTTTTTTTTTCCTTTCACTAACTCAGATTTTCTTCCACCTTCTTCAAGGTGAAGCATCTGGATATGACAGTGAAACAAGTAATGTAGAAGATTCATGTGGACTGTTCTCTCAGGGTGAAATCCTTACTACACAGGTAAGTGAGTTTATGCACTAAATTCTAAAAGTAGTTTGCATTCTAGGATATAAGCAAGTACATGAAAGCTGTGAAGTCAGTGTAGTGGAAAACTGCTTTCATCATAATTCTTTGTGTCGCTAGGTTCCAAGAGCATAATTAATGAAGAATTGTAGAACTGCTTCTATGCTACTGTTTGTCCAACTTTGCCTTCCATGGTAACATTACATGCTAGTGGCCATCACTTGTTATGTGGTATTGATTACAGTGCTTAATTGTGGGAGATGTTAGGTAATGAATCTCACACTTGACCACTGCTGGAAACCTCAGCTTCCTGTATTGAAAAGCTTCATTGATAGGAATATATAATGATTGGTGATAAGGATTGGATTTGCTACATTATGATATTTAGAAGCATGGAGACTTGCCATCTAAGGGTAAAGATTAAATCAAATCATTCCATATTAGAATATTATAGATATAAGGCCCAACAGGCAGTGTCCAATGAAAGGTGTGTCTAGCACAGTATGTTTTCTCTGCTATTAATTTCCTGATTACTGCTTAATGGCCTGACTGTATGTATTGGGTGATTGGTGTGGGGGTTTTTCGGTTGGGGGTTTTGGGGTTTTTTGTGTGTGTGTTTTGGTTTTTGGGTTTTGTTTTGTTTGATGGGTTTTTTTTTGTTTTTTGGTTGTTGGGGGTTTTTTTTGTGTTGGGGTTTTTTGTGGTGTGGTTTTTTGTTTTTTGTTTTTTTTCTCCTCTGTAACTTCAAGGTAGGTCTTATGCCAAATCTCTCTCTTCAGCATTAACAGCCTCATGGGTTTTAATGTATGTCAAAGAAGAATGAATTTCATTTTTGTGCTTTATGGGTGGTTTTTCTGTTTACTGCATCAGTGCAAAATGTGGTCAACTGGCAGGACATTGCTCCCTGATGTAGCTTCATTGATAGAGATTCTAGGATAAGCCTGGGTTGAATGGAATAGTGGCAGTATGGATTGGTGGGGACTTCTTTGGTTTGTTGTGTGGTGGGGGTTTTCTGTTTCGTTGGGGGTTTTTTGGTGATTCAGTAACAAGGAAGTTCCACACGGTGCCAGTGCTACAGCTACAAATGTAGTATTCAGTGCTGTGGAAACTCCTTTATCCTGTATGGTGAAGGTTCTAGGTTTTTAAAAGGATCCTTTGAAGCCCTGAGCTGCTCTTATGAGGGGGTGTATATGGCATGTTTTTAAGAGAGGGTATTGTAATTTTTGAGAGAGAAAGTAAGGAAGAGTAGGATGAAATATTTCATTCCTTTTAAACGGTCTTTGGGGCTTTCAGTAATGGTGGAAAGTGCAGTGGCTCAATACTTGGTGTTCATGATTAAATTTTAAATTAAGTGGCTAATGCAAACTAACGCAGTTGGGGCAAAATGACTTTAAAAGAAAACTCTGCAGAAGTTTGTGGGTTTTTTTTTTTCCCCAACTGATTAAACTGTGGTGAGCCATCTAAACTGAAATAATTTGAACTTCAAAATGACTGTGCAGTTGGTTGTTTTTTGTTTTTTGGGTTTTTTTTGTTTGGTTGGGGTTTTTTTGCTTTTGACTTAGCTTGTGTGCATTATTTGTTACAGTAAAAGCACCACAGTCACCTTTTGAACACATGGTAAAAACTAATTCAAAATAATTTTGCTGTTTCTAATTTTCAAGCATTTGTTAAAGAAATTAGTCTTACTGTTTAAAACTGAGTTTGCTAATGTTGGCACAATTGTGTATCCTTTGCAGCAGAAGAATGCTATGCAAAATAACCTAAAAAAACTTCAGCAAGAAATGGCTGTACTTGAAGCAGTGCTAAAGCAGCATGGAAGTCAGGACTGTGAATTTTTACCTATTTATAGGGAACTGCCACATTCCAGTAGTGAAGGAACACTTGGAATGGAACAAATGAGACAAGAAAGAGGTAAATAGCGATGAAAACCTTTCCCAGCTTTCTTACAGTTGTGTGACTATTACTAGTTCTTTTTTCCCCTCTAGCACAAATTATAGTGTTAATTTAAAATTGATATGTTAGCAGAATTTTACCTAAATTCAGCTGTTCAGTGAGACATATGTGTTTTATTTATAACTTAGGTACTACACTTAGTCTAAAAAACTCCTGTTACAGATCTGTGTGAGATTACATGATGTAATTGTATAAATGGTGTGAGTAGGCCTTGTGGCTTGGCAGTACTAATCCATGTTGCTGTTCTGTCAGTTCTAGTTACACTCTTGTTTTCTGTCACTGGAATGGGTAAGGGACTGGGAGAGTGGCTGAACACCCAAAAGGACTTGGCCTCTATTGTTGTGGTAGAAATTGTCCTTTAGCATATCAAGGAACAAGACAGAAATTAGGTTAGGTATGTATTGGCTGTCAAAAGTAGTACAATACAGGTCAGGCTGCTGATGGGCAAAGAAGAGGAGAATACCTATAGTGGTGTGTAAATCTCCTGAACAGGGCATGAACACAGAGTTCCTAGCTGGAAAGTGCACAAGGCAGTAAATAAATGGTGAAGAATACTTCAGTAATCGCCAAAGGCTTATTGTATATTGAGGATAAAGTGAGTTGCTGCCAGCTATGTAAGTGATGGTGAGAGGGCTTTATTTAAGGTTTTTCTTTAAGGCAAGACAGATACTGAGATTACTGTTCTGACAATCTATGTGCAACAGAGCATAGAGCATTCTTTGAACAAAGCCTACAGTAAGTCCAGATGTTCATTTTTGAACTTTTCAGTGTTCTAGAAAGGCACCCAATGCTGATTTCAAGATTTCCAAAGATGTAATGCTTATTGAACTCTTAGATAAATGGCACCAGTGCTTTATTATCCTACTTGCTGCTAAAAATTTATTTCTAATTCTGTGGTCTTAGTTCAGTCAGTTATCTTTATTTTCTGAGGGCAGCTACAATAACTTAACATCCTGGAATTCAAAGTTACTTAGTGTCTTACCATGCCTTTACTGTGTATGGTTTTCACTGTGGAGTCTTTTCTATCTAAATTCAAAGGCTTTCATCACTGCTGTAGGTGCTAGCCAAATATCACAAAACGATCTGTAGATTGCTTTTGATCTCCTGAATGATGGTGTTGTACAGTGTGAGGTATGAGACCTTTAGATTAACCTCTATCTTAAAAAAAAAAAAATACAACAAACATGAAATTGTTAGCCAATATGGTGCAGCTATACCAATGGGTCTTCTGCTTGTGTGTTAGTAAGTTAGTTTTTGTTGTCAGAGTGTCATCTGCATCAGGAAGCTCCTTCATGGAGAAAAGGGAGCTAAAACAGAAAAAGTGAAGAGGCTGAGCCTTTGAAAGGTACGCAGTGGTTTGTTCAATTCATTAAAAAATCTGAGGTAACAGCATCCTTCCAGTGGCTGCTGCTTTGATACTTGGATTCCTGACAGGAAAGTAGGGCCATTTATTGTGGAAGAAATTCGCTTTAATCCTGTCCTGGTTTCGGCAGGGATAGAGTTATTTTCCTTCCTAGTAGCTGGTACAGTGCTGTGTTTTGGATTTAGGGTGAGAACAAAGTTGATAATGCACCGATGTTTTAGTTGTTGCTAGGTAATGCTTACACTAGCCAAGGACTTTT